AAAGAAAAAAAAAGAGAGAGAGAGAGAGAGGGAGAGAGAGATTATAATTATATGTGCATGGGCTGCTGTCTATCCATCCCAAGCTACCAACAGAAATAATCAAGTCCAGCTAAGAGAGCGTTGTGTGACCGTGAACTCGTTGTTTTTCCTCATTAACTCCCCTCAACTGTCTTCCATTCAATACTCTCCCCCCCTCTCTCTTTAAATCCCTCACCTTCCTCCTACCGTCCACTACACCAATTCCAAAATTTCAAAACCAAAAAAAAAGAGCAAAGGGGAAAAATGCCAGAGCTAACAGCACCACCAAACACCTCCTCTTCCTCCTCCGTCCGGCTGAAGCCGGCGTACCGCTTCTTGGTCAACAACTTCTTGCCGATCCTCCTCATCCCCTCTGCCGCCTTCCTCCTCGTCCACCTCCTCCGCCTCGGCCCTCAGGACCTCCGCCCCCTCCTGGACGCCCAGCTCGACCCCCTCCACCTCCTCTCCTCGGCGTTCCTCCTCGTCCTTGCCGCCACCCTCTACTTCTCCTCCAAGCCACGCTCCATCCTCCTCGTCGACTACGCCTGCTACAAGCCGCCCGTCACCTGCCGCGTCCCCTTCTCCACCTTCATGGAGCACTCCCGCCTCATCCTCCGCGACAACCCCCGCAGCGTCGACTTCCAGATGCGCATCCTCGAGCGCTCCGGCCTCGGCGAGGAGACCGCCCTCCCCCCCGCCATCCACTACATCCCCCCGACCCCCACCATGGACGCCGCTCGCGCAGAGGCCCAGCTCGTCATCTTCTCCGCCATCGACGACCTCATGGCCCGCACCGGCCTCCGTCCCCGCGACGTCGACATCCTCATCGTTAATTGCAGCCTCTTCTCCCCAACCCCTTCCCTCTCTGCAATGATCGTCAACCGCTACAAGCTCCGCAGCAACGTTCGCAGCTACAACCTCTCCGGCATGGGCTGCAGCGCGGGCCTCATCTCCATCGACCTCGCCCGCGACCTCCTTCAGGTCCACCCCAACTCATACGCCCTCGTCGTCAGCACCGAGATCATCACCCCAAACTACTACAAGGGCTCCGAGCGCGCCATGCTCCTCCCCAACTGCCTCTTCCGAATGGGCGGCGCCGCCATACTCCTCTCCAACAAGCGCCGCGACGCCCGGCGCGCCAAGTACCGCCTCGTCCACATCGTACGCACCCACAAGGGGGCCGACGACAAGGCATACCGGTGCGTGTACGAGCAGGAGGATCCCGAGGGGAAGGTCGGGATCAACCTTTCAAAAGACCTCATGGTGATTGCCGGGGAGGCCTTAAAGTCGAACATCACCACCATCGGCCCCCTCGTCCTCCCGGCCTCCGAGCAGCTCCTCTTCCTGTTCACGCTGATCGGGCGAAAGATCTTCAACCCAAAGTGGAAGCCCTACATACCGGATTTCAAACAGGCGTTCGAGCACTTCTGCATCCACGCGGGCGGGAGAGCGGTGATAGACGAGCTGCAGAAGAACCTGCAGCTGTCGGCGGAGCACGTGGAAGCGTCGAGGATGACACTGCACAGGTTCGGGAACACGTCGTCCTCGTCACTATGGTACGAGATGGGCTACATCGAGGCCAAGGGGAGGATGAGGAAAGGGGATAGGGTGTGGCAGATCGCGTTCGGGAGCGGGTTCAAGTGCAACAGCGCGGTTTGGAAGTGCAACCGCACGATTAAGACGCCGGTAGATGGGCCGTGGACTGATTGTATCGATCGGTACCCGGTGCATATTCCGGAGATCGTCAAGCTCTGATGATGATGATGATGATCACGTTAATTAATACTACTGGTTTCGGGATTATTTTTCATTGTTACTTTTTTTTACCTTTTCTTCTTCTCCTGGTTTTTAGAGGTAGGTCTTTATTTTTTTTTTTTCACATGTTTTATTTTTTTTGTTCAGTGTGTGTTCTTAAAGAAAGAAAGAAAGAAAAAAAAAAAGGTGTAGTTGTGTGAGGATGTGTGTGTTTAATTAATGTTCACTGGTGGGAAGGACAAAGTGTGTAGTCGTCGGATGGATGATGGGAGGTGTAGATTTACTGTGCGGTGGGATAAAAAAAAAAAATGTGATTTTATTATTATTACATACAGTTTGGTGGTGTGGGGTATGGAGATTGATTAGTTAAAGTTGTCATATATATATGTTTGGTCTTCATTGTTTGTATGATGTATGAAAACCGATAAAAGATACAAATGTTGTTTGCTCTTTGGGGAAAGAAACCATAAATAAATAAACAAATAATAAATATTGGTGGTTGGCTTCTTGAGTTCTTTGAGTTGGGCTTTATTTTTTTTTATATATTTTTTTTTTAAGCTGTGATTGAACTCTTGTGTTACAATTCAATTGCAAATAGAGTTTATTGAAGATGTAAAATTATTTATTGAACAACCATCACCTAATTTGCAAGCCTACCATGACCTGACAATAACTAGTATGAAAGAAGTCCAGTAATAAGGGTTTTGCTCTCTCTCGTAGAGCTCCCAGTTCTTCGAGTAGGATATTTCTAGATCTTCGTCCCTCCCCTCGTTTCTCTTTTCGGTGTTTTGGGTTGTTTTTCTTTTCGTGTTCTGGGTGCTTTTGGATCTAGGTCTTAGGATCTTTTTGTTGCCATTTTCTTTCGTTGTTCTTCGGTGTTTATGTTTTGTGTGTATTTGCGTTTGTCTGTTTTGTGTTTACTCTTTGTTGTTCCTGTGTTTCCATGTTCAGTTGGCTCGGGGAGGTGTCCAAAATTGCAGAGATTTGTTCTCTCTGATAAAGAAGTTCAAGGGGTAATTTTTTCAGAAAATGATATTGGTGGGAGTCCAAGACTGCAAAATAAGCCTTATACGAAAACATTTTGGTGAGAGAAGAAAGTAAACTTGAAGGGTTTTAAGGGCACATTAAGCGGAATTTGGACTACCAATGCTCCGTTCTATGTAAGAAGTCTAGGCGCGAATATGTATCAATTCATCTCTACGAAACTGAAAAATATAAGGACAAGATTCTAAGAGTGAAGACTTGGAACTTCGATGGGCAGTATCTCCTTTTAAAACAATCAGATCACTGCAGGACAGAGTGTTAGTGTTATTTACTAAAAGTTTGGCTTTAAATGATATTACACTTTTACCCTTTAGATTAAACAAGTTCTACGGTCTGTTGTTTTGCATTAGATAGGGTGGGTCGTCATCGGGCGAACCGAAGATCACTCTATCAGTTACACGCGAAACAAGAATTAATGGTTCACAACCTAGATGGACATGAACACCCCATCAGAACGGTAGTAGTGTCAGTTTGTCTTGGCTGTTTAGTTGCACTAGTACATTTATGTATTGAATATATATGATCCCAGAGTGGAGCAGTTCGATTTATACTGATCGTCGTAAACGAACTAGGCCTCCGTTAATTACTGCGTACTCTTAACCCGTAAGATATTAAATAGACATATACATCAAGTATTTATTGTTTTGATTCACAGGGGTGAGGTGTAGTGAACTAGACCAATAGACCCACTATCTTGGATAATATTGTTGTATGTATGATGTGCTATTAGGATATTTACGGTCACCATATACGTTTAGTGTGATGATGTCACCGGAGTGAGTTCATGAAGGATTATTATGTTAAACCCTGCAGGTGGATTAAATTCTGGCATAGTAAGAATGCGATGAACGAGCGCTAGCTTCGGTGAAATAATAATGAATTAATTAATTCTTGCTTGTCAGTAATCGAATTAATTAATTGATATTATATCTTAAACATGGGGAGATAAATCGATGAAGTCTCAATTGTAAATTGGGCTAGGAAAAGAGAGTGCAATAATATTTTGTTGGTGCCCATTAATATTATTTAACTAAATAGAATAAGTGAGTTAACCCACAAGTATTTTAAATAATTAAGGAGTCATATTCCTAATCTCCTAAGGGTCCCTACTGTAACTCTATATATACAGCATTAAGTTCATGGGAAGAGAAGAGGTTGAACAATTCATAATACACGCCCCACGTCTGCCTCTCTCTCTCTCTCTCTCTCTCTCTCTCTCTCTCTCTCTCTCTCTCTCTCTCTCTCTCTCTCTCTCTCTCTCTCTCTCTTAGTTCTCATTCGAGCTTTATCTTTTTCTTGTTGCTCCACCGGTACAAGTTGAAGAAGGGTAAGGGTATTTGAGATATACAGTAGAAGATCCATATGTATTCGAGACCCAGTGATCATCTACACGAACTCGACGATCCCCAAGCCAAAGCCCGAGGATCGCCGACCAGCACGCCGCGACCCTACCGGACAGCCGCCGCGACGCGCCACCACGATCGGCGGTCGGCGGATCCGTGACAAGGGTCAGTTCCGCGCGACACGGCCAGCCTCAGACCCCACACGACCCGACCCGATTGCTAGCCCGACGTTCCGCTAGCGATCCAATCCAGTTCGTGTGTTGTGTACGGCCATCCGGAGATCAGCCAGATCGCCAAAATTTTAAGCCGTAAGTTTTCTACGTCAAACATTTAGATTCGTTGCGCATAGGTTTACGTTTGCTATTGAATTCTTGATTTGCATATAACGAGATCCTCATAGATCCCAACAAGTTGTAGCAGAGCACTTGGTTAATTCGTTTTGTACCACGTTCGAATTTTTACGGCTTTATTTGACAAGATGTGTTCAAATGCAGCCATATATTAGATTATATTCGCATAACTTGGTTTTGCAAGAATTAGTTTAATCCACTATTATGGTCGACTATGTGTTTAATGAATGGTGTTGAATGTGATGTATGGTTTTAAATTTGTTTTTAAAGCCATGGACATGTCGCGGAATTTAGTGGATGAATGTTTGTAATAATTATTTGTCTGGGGGTTGACCGGATAGATTTAATTATTTGTTTAGAAAAACATGTACATCAATTTGTTAGATCTAGGATCGTATTATGTAATTTTGTAAATTATATTTTTCGTGTTGTGATCGTGGATTGATGACCGTGAGATCACAAGAGATCAACGAACCTCGAAAATTCAACCTGACCGAAGCCCGGAGATGCGCGGGAAGTCACGCGAGAAAAAAAATAAATAAATAAATCGCCGTCGTCCGGATTTTTTGACTATCGGCAATCGACATGCGGCGGTCAGCAGCGGCGGCGGCGGCGGCGACGACTCGACGTGGATGGGTTTTTACTTGGTGGCCAAGCAGTACGATATCAACCAGGATTCTACTGCAGTTGGAGTTCCAGTTGAACATGGAAAGAATATACAAGGTTTCCTTGTTTATGGGAACTCAATATTTAATGGTCATAATATTGAATTTATTTATTTATTTAAATTCATTTTTCCATTATTTATTTATTTATGCATGTTAATTAATTGTTTATTTGCATGGGATTTATTTAGAATTGCATATTTATTTATGCATGTTAATTAATTATTGTGGATTAATCATTCAAGTACTGGTGGCAGCAAGTCTATTCCATAGCCAACTCAGAAGTTTCAAATCACATAATTCAGCTCACCACTTATTTGTTGTGGTGGCTATGGAAGGCCCGCAACTTGTAGATTTTTCAAAATTCCCTTATCCCGTTGCACTTAGTGTTGAAATCAGCTCACTCAGACTGGTTGGAATTTTTATCTATCTCTTAAGTTATAGTTTGTGTTGTTTTCTAGTTTGGTTAGTTAGAGTTTGTAATTGGAGCAGGTAAATTATGCTAGGCCTGTGGGTAGTGGTCAGGTTATCTGTTTCCTTTTGTGTTGTTGTTCGATTTGCTTGAGGTTCTAGGCCATCTTGCATTGCAGATGAGCCTCTCAATTTTCTAGTTCAGGATTTGATTGGGATCTTCCCCTTTCTATTAGAATTATGTTCTCGCTTGAGTTTTATAATGACATCTATCGTTTTGACAAAAAAGAATTAATTAATGCATTTACATAGGATTAATTTAGAATTGCATAAATATTTAAATAGTTAAAAATCCTCATTTAAATTATACAAAGTTTGAGAAGGATTTTAAATTACAGTTAATTGTAAAATTCCTAAGGCCTCCATTTCTGATTTGTCGGTAAATCAATTAATTGCAGTATGGGTTCCCCCTCGGGTGACATCACTAAAATTAATTGTAGATAATTACCAGGACAAATTTCTAATTAGACTATTAGAGAGATTCTTATGAGAGAGTACGGGATTCCCCTCGGATGACGTATAATCGAATTCGTATGAACTTAGGATCGAGAAAAGAATTCACTTAGAATGCGATTAAATTTATAACCCCCCTCGGGGTCCCTGAATTCTACTGCATGGCCAAATAGAGACCGACTATTAATTTCGTTCGTCATGAATTTAGTTTTGACTTATCAAAATTAATGAGCCTTTGAATTCTATTGCATCGCCAAATAGAGACCGACTATTAATTTCGTTCGTCATGAATTTGGTTTTGACTTATGGAAATTAATGAGCCTTTGAAAGCCCTTCTCTTGTGAATGTTGAGTTGTGTAGGGTTACCCTCGTATCATGCATTAATTCTAGGTGTTTTGAGATGTCGGTGAATTTAAGTTAATATTGTTTTGAGGATGTCAATATTAGCAGTTAAATTCAAAAGTGTTTAATTCGTAAAATTATTTTCATGATTCTCAGGTTATATTCATCATGTCATTCAATTTGTTATCTGTCATTCTAAAAGGAAAACAACATGCTAGTCCCGAACCATTTGATTGGAAGAGAAACTTAGACATTGTCATGTCGATTATCATGGCTAAGGGCACTCCCGTAATGGAACATGTCCAAAGGCTAATGGAGCAGTTCACTCGCAT